ATTTAAACTATTTCGTAAACGTTTTCATAAAATGGATATTGTTTTTCACAAGTAGATCACTAGTTTCAATAGTGTTCTACTTTATAACTATAGACAAATTAACATAAAAAAATTCTTTATTATGAATTAAACATTTGGAACAATCGGAAAGGAAGAATTTAAAAATCAAATATACAAGGCGTACTCTAGTGGCTCGAGATCTTGCTTCGGGTAGATCGTATAATGATTGTTATTGAAATATACATGTCTTCTACATTCGTATGTAATTACCAACTTAACTCGCATTAATAAATAACGAAATTAAATGGGATAAATACGAGAATCCATTATGAATATGTATATTTCATTCACTCATTATTGATTTGAACAGGCAATCAAGGAGACTAAGCAAAAAGAGAGAAGAGCGAAACAGACTAGAAAAGCCGAGTGAACCAACTCCATTTAATCAAGCATTTATCAATATTTAAATTCAGATAAAAATAAGCTACAGACATGTGATGAGTAAGGTGAGACGTGCACACACACTTTCATATAAAAGTCAAGATTAATGAGCGAATAAATGAAAAGGTCAAAATGTAGCTTGAAAAGAATGTACGTATTGGCATGTCTAGAATCTAGAATAACCTATGTAAACTTACATAGCGCTACAGTATTCATTTTCAAAACTGTCTTGATGATGAGCTTACCTATATTAAGTTAATAGAAAAGCTATGAATTACAAATGTTCTTGATAGCTCAGATTGTTTCCTTCACTTACTAAAGTAAATCAAAAATGCTTATTTTTCGGTTTAAGCGTATAATCATCATCATTTGTGTAAATAATGATCCGAGTATTTGTTTAAAATACTTAAGTTTTTCTAGTATGATAACCAATAATTCATCTTCCAAACTCTAATTCAATGATGATCATCTTAACTTTCTAAAAATCTTCCACTAATAACTATCGATTATTTAATAATGATGTGCAAAATATTTCCTTTAAATCCCAACTTTTTATATCTAATTATTGATCCGTAACCTTCAATCTCATTCTGTAGTATTTTCTATATTTTATGCTTAATCTATCTAATTTAACCTCATCTTTTAAACAAAATTACTTCATGATTTACATACATTTAACAATATAATTTAACTGAATTCAAAATCTAACTAAACATTAAATCGAATTACTAAGTTTGATTATGATTAAAAATTTATATTAAATGTCTATGACTGTAAATCAGATTTGATTTAGATATTGTTAGTTTTATGATTTCTTATATAAATCACGCAAACTTTTGTTTTTAAACATAATTTCTAAATATCATTTTGTTTACAAACTAAATGGACTTTGAATATTTTTAACCAGTAAAATTTGTTATTTAGAAATGCAGGTTGTATGTCTGAAAAAAATATTAGAAAAAAAGTACTTTTATTAGTATTAGGGTTGTGGAGAGATTGAGATCATGAACTGATTGATGTTAGACCACCGTTGGAAACCTGGAAGCACTGGACGATCGTTTCGTTCTACCGTGGGACTCCTCAGCAGTGCACTGCTTAATAATCTCCACAAACCTAGTACTAATAATTAACATGTGCTCACTAGTGACTAGCTTCTTGAGGGAATTTGATGATATCTAGTGAGAAGCCGTGACCAGTGGAGCTAATACGTGTCGGGTAGAGACAGGTATTTACCTCAGTACAATGGAAGATGGTTGCGCGATTTCGGATGCTGGATCAGTGGTTCAGTAGGTTAATTGTTCACGCGGAAGACTGAAGGCCCTGAGTTCGAATCTTGCGAGTAGGATCGTGAATGCGCACTGCTAATGAGTTTAACAATAGGACGAATCGGCCGTCCAATGGTTCCAGATTTTCAATGGTGGTCTTACATCAATCGGTTCATGATCTCAATCAAAAAAGTACTTTTAATTAGTAGGAATAAGTAGATTAAATGATGAAAGCACTAATAGAATACATAATTTTTACGTTGATATAGACAATTATCATGATGTTATACTAAATGACTTTATTTGAAAATGGCCACTATAACAATTGGGTATTTTTTTTTCTTTATCATATATAAACATAATTATTGGTGAATTAAAAGAAATTTTAATATAATAATAAGATTTTACAAAAAACGTTACTGAAAAACGGGTAATTTTGAAGTTTTACATTATGGAATAATTTTAATTAGACAGCAATCAATTAAATTAATAACCAAGAAGTAATAAATAATTGTTTTATCCTAGTAAGTGACTGTTCAGTAGTGCGTATAAATGATCACAACTGGACTATAGTGAAATATCTTCAGATCTCATGAAGAGCATTCAACATTTAGACCACTGACTTATCACTGAAATGATTGACACTGCTAGTCTTAGTTCGCAATTTGATGTGTCCATAAACTGGTGATAAGTGTCTCACGTTCAACATAATAAATAACAATTAACCAGGATAACACTATTAAGTTCGGGCGTAAATTGAATTACAAAATATATTTTTTTTGATAAGTTGACCAATTGAGTAATCAACCAAATAAATAGTTTCTCCAGTTGCCAAAACATATTGCACTGAAATTAGAGACATTGGCTTTTGAGTAAAATTATTTATTTATGAAAAGAAATTTTTTTAGCTTATTAGCTTTACTGTTAATTTTAATTTTCAAAAGTTGTTTGTTTCATCATAAAATCCCTTAAACATTCGAAAAATATGGAGTTGATTTTTCATAAAATAGATGGAATTTGACTAACAGTGGAATTCAATATTTGCGTTTCGTCTTATTTAAGGCTCATCAGATAGATGTAACTGCATCCCAGAATTGGTTATAAGTTATAAGTTTTTCGATAATTTTCTAAATATTAACTATCTTTCAATGGATAGGGCTAAGTTTTTATTATAACACATTTGTGTTTAATGATGGCAATAGTCTATGGAATAAAACATATTAACATCAACTCCAGCCCATTTTTGAGATGAAAGATTAAATATGTACAATAATATGTATAATCTTTTATAGTAGTCGTATATGTAAATTAAAATGAAGTCACAAATTTTACTTACGAAGTAGCTAATCCACTTGATATGAATGACCATCATTTCACAAAATATGTGTACGAAGATTTATGACCATTTTATCAGTGAATAATAAGGTGAGCTTTTTTTTCGTGGGTTCCATGCTGACATTAAATAAAAACTCAATAAATTGTCACAAATAGCTAAATAAATTGTATAACTGACCGTGCTGTTCAAACAAGATATATCCAAGTGAAAATAATATAATAAATTACTCTTGTTGAAAGTAAACTGTATGGTAATTCTTGTTTAGTTTGTGTGGGTTTTTTAAATCAAAAAAATTACAAAGATTTTCAATGACTTAGTTTTTGAAATAACTGGTTTTCATTAAGTTATATATTAGTCAATATCATGACATAGTAACATTAAGTTCAGTAGGTGTGGTTGTAAATTTTATATCATAACAACATTCATGCATCAGTTTTACTGAAAATAACTGATGTAATTGTGTTTCAAGTTAAAATATCTAAGTACTTCATAGTGCTATAATCCTTTTGAAAGCTAATACAACATCATTTTCACTGTTCTGTTTAATAATATATCGTTTTCTTTTAATTCACACAACGAAATTCATGTAAAATATCTTTATATTGAAGTTTATAAACGTGAATGTCTTTGAATTAGTGTTTATTAGATGAATATAACAACCTCCTATAAGTTATGTTCAATGTTAATAGTATATGAATGGATTCGAAAGCCATGAAGAATTTTTAGGATGTACGATTCAACCAGTTTTTATTTTGTGTACAAGATAGATTTCTTACATCGAGTTAGTGATATTTTCATATCGATTATTTTGAATAATCACCAAGCAAGATTTATGAAAAATATATTTCAATCCATAAAGGAAATGTCTAAAATTTAACTGATGTTATATTTTTATAGTCGAATGTATTTTTTTGTTATTCGTTGACGTAAGTTGTTTATATCAGTTTCCTTTTTCTAGTTATGAGTCAGCGTTTTCATTTCAGGACAATCCTAAGTGAACTCTATTTATGAAACTATAATTGATAAATATACTGGAAGTTCTAGTGGGAAGCCGTTACCAGTGGAGTTCAACCAGGTGTGTTGTGAGATATCAGCTCACTGAAGACAATGGTATATGGTGGCGCAACTTCGTGGATTGGTTGAAGTTAGACATTAACACCGTTGGGTGCCGGCTCAGTGGTCTAATGGTTAAGCGCTCGCTCGCGAAGCCAGTAGATCCTGGGTTCGAACCCCGCGGGGTGCGGGGGCGTGGATGCGCATTGCTGAGGAGTCCCATGGTAGGACGAAACGGCCATCCAGTGCTCCCTGATTTTTCATGGTGGTCTAGCTTCAACTGACTCTTGATTTCTATTTGTGAATTTTCTAAAATCTCCCTTCTGATAAATATACTGGAAGTTGATGCTTATTTAACTATGAAAACAATAAATTTTCAACAATTTTTTCCTATTCATATATCTAAAAAGAACTTGAATAATTATTAAGGCAGAATAATATAAATTCAATCATTCTATGAATTTTTGTTCCGCTGCTTATGATAGTCTGTTCATAAGTGTTAATTGTTGTGATTGTTATTATTGCGATAATAATATGGAACCCTTAAAAGCAGTGTACATACTTCATAAGCAGAGATGGGTGGTTTTAAGGAGTGAAATCCAAAATGAACGTTTCAGCCTATTCAGGACATATCAGCAAGTTTATGTACACTCCAGGATTTGAACCCAGTGTCATTCTCTTCGAAAAGGTAAAAAGAATGATTGATTATGGTCTTAAATGTCAACGAAACAATCGAATTAGACTTTACCCTAATGTATAAGTCAATGGCTTTCTAGGTTTAGTAGCTAAGTAAATAATGCGTAATTAGTAACTTCAGCTTGCATACAAAGCTTTGAAAAACTTGATATTATTGATTTTGTAATTCAACTAGCAAGGGATGTTCATAATAACAGCAAAACATATTATCCATTGTGAAAATAAATATATTTATTATCTGTTATATATCCATGAAGGTATATCAAAAAACGACATCGAATACGACACAAAAGTTCGTTAATGAAAAAAATTGAAAGAATCATTTTAACATAACAATGAATATGTTTTCAGATATATTTTTCATTTCTTTGTTTTTGTTTGTATCACTACCGTTTGTTCACGGACGTCTATAATGACAAAAACAGACATCTTGATCACAAACAGTAAAAATATTCACAATAAAAAGATTTTGATTTTGCTATTAATGGTTAATTAGAATCACATTCATTTCCAATCATTTCTAATGTACGTGAATTCCCAGGGATTTTTAGTTTTTGTTTGCGCACACGATTATGAATAGTTGGAAATGTTTCGATTGGTAAACCTATTCCAGTTGATGAATGTATAGAATTAACTGGCATTGAATAACTTGTAGTAGAGTGGCTTGTCATCGATGATCGATAGAAGAAGCGAAATATATAACGATGATAGTTTGAGCACGTGGCAATTAATAATAACGGACCTGTTACAGCATTTGACATAGCTAAACACATTGAATAATCAAGTAAAATTTCAGTTACTGGATAATTAATATGAAATGTTTTTGTTAACAGATTACATACATGGTTCGGTGACCAAGATAAAACAAACAGTGCTGCCATTAACACGCATAGTCTTGTTAGACGCTGACGTCTTCTTGTCCATGCTGTTGTATTACGATATCCAGAAAGCATTAATAGTCTTTGTGATTGTTTCAAATGAACTGTGACGACATGTTGACTTAAACACACAACTATCAGTGGTAAAACATATATTGCTACTATTAAAATAACATCATACGCAAGCTGAGCTTCACGAGACCAGGAATCCCTAAAATTGAATAGAAATTAAAACGTATAAAATGCTTGTATTTTAAAAATAAATCCCTAGGTTAACAAAAGTAATAAAACTACAACACAATTAATGTGGGTATATTAGACCGTGATAATTAAACATGTGATTAATATAAATAATACATAAACGACTTGAAGCATTTATTGACAAAATGATGAGCAATGTATAACAAAGTTTAAGATGACAAAATCACAGGCAAACACAAAAACAAATTTGATTGAAATCATGAACCGATTGACGATTTGTGGATTGGTTAATTTTAGACACTCACACTAACGGATGCCGGATCAGTGGTCCAGTAAGTTAAGCGTTCGCGCGTAAAACTAAAGGCCCTTAGTTCGAATCCCGTGAGTGGGATCGTGGATGTGCACTGCTGAGCAGTCCTACAATAGGACGAATCGGCTGTCCAGTGCTTTCAGCTTTCCGACGGTAGTCTAACATTAATCGGTCCATGATCTCAATCAAAAACTTAATAATCTCCACAACCCCTATACAAAAATAAATCACTTAAAAGATTGAAAGATATCATTTTTTATGCTTTTTTAATCAAAGCTGAGAACAGTATGACTAAATGTAACACGTGTACAGTGAAAATTGATCCGAAAAATTCATTCAATCTGGATTTGTTTCAATGAAGTACATTTCCAAGCATTCATTATTAAGTTGAAGACACTACAGAGTATCATAGCTGAAGATTATAAATTAATTATTTATGCTGTCACTTTTATAAGTTGTCACGCTAAAGGAAAATGGCTCTTATGAATTGATAACTGATTTTGCAAAATACATACTTTATTCTCGTTTTTAATAAAAGGTTTATTATGCTAAACCAACAACCGGAATATTTCAATGCAGATCCCTCTGTTTTTTGGGCGAAATCTATACATATATCTCCTTCTCTCATTCCTTTTATTTATGTCAGTTATGTAGATAAAGATTACAGTTTGTTTTCATGAAATACCTGAAAGAAAATTGTTTTCAGTGCCAGCGTTGTGAATTAGTTTTCAGGTTAGCTTTTGAAGAATGTTGACAGAGATATTGAACCTATCCGTTAGTAATTTCGTATAGTCAAAGTATAACCTACTTAAATACTGAAATACAAATTTAGTCATTAATCCATTCCATTTGGATTTTGTGTTTTAAAATAATCTTCCAAATTACAGGTATCAATACTAAGGTTTGACTTGATAGTTTCGAATAAATTGAGCATTAGTTAGATTGTTATATTTGTAATATCTCAACGAGTAGAAAAATTAGATTTTCTGGCGTTTCGTGATTCAATGTAAGTGACTTCTTCAGAAAATAAATAACCAACTTAAATTAACCCGTTAAAATAATACAAACGGATAAAGCAAGAATATTACGTTCGATCAATCAAAAACAGGTCTGACCAAGTCAATGACATGTCATTCCGGTCGAGGTGATTTATATGATTTATAATCCCGTAGAAATGGAAAGACTACAAATTAAATGAGCAATAGGAGTTCACGCCATTTTCAACAATCATCAAATCAATGCAAAATGGCTTTTCCATCTACAAAAAAAGGTGAGTAACTAAAGCTTTGCATACAATGCTTATTCCTACTGCCCTCAATAGAAAAGAAGGCCTCACTATCCATCCAACTTGGACCTACTATCCAAGCTACCATGTCTGATTCTATTCGCATTTCACAAATGTCACGTTTATTTCATACCTTACCATGCACACAAATATACAAATATACACCTTGACCAGAACATGTCATTGACTTGGTCAGACCTGTTTTTGATTGATCGAAACTAATATTCTTGCTTTATCCGTTTGTATTATTTTAACGGGTTAATTTAATTTGGCTATTTCTTGCCTGAAGAAGTCACTTACACTACTCGTTGGGATACTACAAATATATTATTTATTTATAACCTTCTACATTATTTCTAAGTGTGAATAATCTGCTGAAATTCGTAATAACCGCTTAAATGTAAAATAAATATTTCTAATTAATCTCTTAAATAATTTTAAACAATCAACTCGGTAGTACTCGATCATGTGATAAACCACATTTTCTAGAACATATTATATACTTTGCCATTATCCTTTACTAATATTAACTTGGCTCTAAATAAAATAGTGTACGTACAGTTATCTGTATTGTATTAATGAAGATAAACCCAAATCTAGGGCAGAAAATTAGTTGATTTTTCTTGTTGTTTTTTTATTTATTCAATGATCCTAGTGTCCTTCACAATGATGTATTTTTCATAATGACTTATTTTATTATTTTTTTCCATCTTCCATTACTACTTAATTATTTTACTATTATTATACCATTTTAACTATTTTCTATTCTCATTTATATTGACTTCTACTTATCTACTTGAAAAGATTACATTATAGCTTTTTGTTCTGCAGTCATGTTTTTGACAATCATTCATCTATATATCCTATAGTTTCAGTTCATCTACTGTTTCATTTATTCATCTTCACAGATGCCACTCATATTATAAGTGTACATATTAACAAACATAATGCAGATATCTTCGGAAAAAAAAGTACACTTTATATTAATATGATTATAGTCTTTTGGAAACGAAATTATAGACATGAACAACTTTTAAATTAAAATGTTATTTGTTTTTATAAACCTGTCTATCTAGAAAATCTATCTTATTACAAAATGCTTTGAGAACATCTAAACTTCATTTAATATAGTTTAAGATATAATGATTTCATTTTTTTCTTTTGGATAAAGTATTTTTTATTCTAATTTCTATCAAAATGTATGAAAGAATCGTTTAATAATTTGGTAACAGACCAAGATATGATATCTTTTCATATTGTATGTAAATTAAATGATATTGAACACATATTTAGTCGTCATTATGTTATATTTGAAATGTTTAATATCAAATGAATATAGACCAGTCAAAGTAAGTATGAACGCATCTTATTAATTTACACCTTAGATTTCACTAAAGATGAATTAGTTATTGATCGATGTAAATTTTGTTTCACAATTGTTTAATGTTTTCAAAGAACAAATTATTCCTGGTTTTGATTTCCTCTAATTTTCTACTAATCATCATTTTGCTTGACCCTAATTGTTAAAATTAAAAAAAATGAATTAGAAATAATATTCTAGATTGACAAAAGCTATTAATAATGTTTACATGGATTCAATATGATATACCAAATATAATGCTCTTAAAAAAGCCGATTTTGTTATTTCTTAAGTAAAATGATAACTGAACTGCCTGAATACACAGTAGTAATAAACAAATTGCGTTATGTATTAGTAGTTTGTAAACAACATTAAAGCAGACAGTTAAGGCTTGATTACCATTTAATTTCTAAGATGACTTTCGAAATATATACTTATGAATACCTAACATATTTTATCAAACTCAAAAGTGCATTAGGCTTATAAAAATTAGAAAAAAACCGAATAAAAAAAAGAAGACAATTATATGCACTAAGTTACTGTAGGTTTTGGTTGCTGTGCCCTTAAAAAAGGTTTTCGTGAACTACTCATAACCAATTGTATTTAATACAAAAACAGCCATATTAATTATGTCAGTATTGAAAACTCTGGTTAAGTTCATAATTAAGATCTGAAAAAGACTGAATCTTCAATTTTTGACAATATTCCATTTAAAATTTATTATTTATTCTGTCAGGAAATACTATAAGTATAATGACTCAATATTATGAGCTATTTATAGATATGTGTATTTTTAATTGAGATCATGAATCAATCAATGTTATACCAACAGTGAAAACCTCGAATCACTGGACGACCGTTTCGTCCTAGTATGGGACTCCTAAACAGTATATATTTGATTGAATAAACTAATATGAACTACTAATAATGTACGTAACACATATAATTTACGTGAAGAATTAAAATGAAACATTTTGTTAAATTCTAGTACTTTCGAAATTTGCATTTACTACAACCTTACATAATGTCATATGTAAAACATAATCATAAGTTATGCAACATTAAACTGTATGGGCAATAAATTCAGAAGTAGAATAAATGTAGCGAATACAAAGCGTAAATTGGAATTTATTATTAAATAAATTTGGAAACAGGTTCTAATTTTAAATTCAGCACATGTAAAGTAATTTTGCTTATAAGAAAATTTAGAATGTAGTCTTGTAGTTTGTGCTACTGATCTCTATAGATATAAGTAGTATGTATCACCAATCGAAAGTGAAATGCTTGGAGGCAAATGGTTAAGAAGATTGAAGAAAAAAGAACGGGAACAAAGAATGATTGGTGTGGTATCGAAAGAACAAAAAAGTTCGCGATGATTGATTGACATTTTGCAAATGAAGTATTTACTGTATGATTCTCAGATTTTACTAAGATGTCCAACAATACATACGATTGTACCCAATTGTGTTCTCGTTCACTACAGTCTTACCTAGTTCATTAACATTTAACCAGGTAGATTATCGACAATAAATGTTATGTAGTACAAAAACTATCATGTTTTTAGCTAGTTAATTTTGTAAATGCGTTATCATTTTTTTCTCTATATCTATCCTTTTTACAAGTTGAGTTATTTGATACTAATGAAAACAGTTTAATGTACAAATAAATCTACACAAAAGCTATTTTTCCTTAATCGTTAATAAAGATTCCCTGATATAAACGAAAATGATTATTGTTATTTCCACAAATAATACATATCCACACTTAAGTGACAATAGATATAAAATCTAATGAACGAGCTAAATGGAAAATCATTTAGAAATCACTAACATCAGGTATAAAACTTGTTAAAGTTGATTTGATTGATTAATATTTTTGATACTGTCATTTTTGTATCCCGGTTTGATCTTATCTGTTCTTTTTAACTGTTAATATAAATTACTGATTTGAAACGATTGCTACCTAAATAAGTATCATGAATTAGCCTAAGTTTATAATTCTGGTATGTAAAACGAATCAATATCTTATGATGATTGATATAGTCTGTTTTAAATA